GTCTTCCATCCATTGGTTCACTCTCCAAGTGGCCGCAGTGGCTGAGGCCAAGAGCCTGAAGCTTCTTCCGAGTCTCCCACACAGGCGCAGGGGCCCAAGCTCTTGGGCCATCTTCCACTGCTTTCCTAGACCATAGCAGCGAGCTAGATTGGAAGAGGCACAGCTGGGATCAGAACTGGCACCCATATGAGATGTTGGCACCACAGGTGGAGGATTAACCTACTGTGCCAAAGTGCCAGCCCCTCTCCTTTTGAGTCTTTAGAAGTGGTTGCTTTTAGGTCTTTTAAAGTATTTATAATAGTTGACTTCAAGTCTAACTTAGTCCAGTGTCTAGACATCATTAAAGATGATTTCTACTGACTTTTTTTCTTTTTTGTGTGTGGACTGTATTTCTCATTTATGAGTCTCAATTTTTTGTTGAAACTGAATTTTTTAAATAACATATTGTGGCAACTTTGGAAATTAGATTCTTCCCTCTTTGCCATGTTGCTTGTTGTTTGTCTAGTGACTTTCCTCATTGATTCTTTGAAATCTGTCGTCTCTGCTGTCTGTACTGAAGTCTGCTTGGTTAGCTTAGTGGTCAGCTAATGATTGGATAGAAGTTTTCTTAAATGCCTCGGACCAGTAAGTCTCCCAGGCTTTGCTACCTGGTGTCCAGTGTGTGTTGGGTCATGCTGATGCATGCACAGATAGTTTTCACCCTTGCCTTCCCTTTACTTCCTACTTGTTTGGAATCTCAAGGTGAGACATTAGTGCCCTCTTGGGTCTTTCCTGTGTAACACGCATGGCCTTGCACCTAACTGATCTTCCAGAATTCCAGGAGCATTGTTGGAGCTTTCATTCAAAGGTGAGACATTTGTGCCCTCTTGGGTCTTTCCTGGGTAACATGTATGGCCTTGCACCTAGCTAAGGCCTTCTAGAATTCCAGGAGTATTGTTAGAGCTTTCAGAGTTCTCTGTGGATGTTTCCTTCTCCAGTTTTCCTTTCAAGGTCTTGGTCACCTTCTTTGCCTGGTTGTTGTGTTGCTCTCTTTGGCAGCTTCTGTGCTGAATAATTGTCAGTGATTTGTTTTGGCCATGTTCTCAAGAGGGTCTTATAACAAGTTAGCTCTTGGTGAAGGCAAACTTGCAAATAAGGTGTAGGGCTGTGGTTTCCTGGGACTGGGGATTTGGGGGAGATCCATACTAGCTCAGCTCTTGCCAGTGGGCTGTTGGCTCTCAGCTGCTGAGTTGGAGGAAAAACAGTGCAGCCAAACAATGAAAAACTTGCTGCTATTGCCAGTATTCAGCTAATTTTTTTTTTTGAGAAATTTTCCGGGTGTTGTAAACCTTTGTTCGACTTCCAGAGTTTTGAAAAAGTTGATTTTTGATGGTTTTTATTCATTATTCTCTTGGCTTCTTTGGAACAATAGATTTTCAGCCACTGTTTCTCATTCCTTTGAAAGTATTACTAGTAGGTTTTTTAAAGTTTTCTTTCTCAAAATCTTCTCTGGCCTTCAGAACATGTATTTGTTTCTTTTTCATCCTCAAGTATCTTGTAATCCTTGGTTGTCTGCTCAGACTGAAGAGTGGGAATAAAAGGCTGACCAGAAACTCTGAGTTGAATGGGTAGTGCGTGCTGACTGTAAACTGGTATTTACTTCGAGGTGATAAATTCTATAAAAATGTGGCCCCTTAGAGTTCTCCAGAAGTGCCATCTGGGATGCCACATATGCTACTGCAATTTGGGGTGCCATAGGATATCACCATATGCTTATTAATAAATCCTCAATATGAATAAGCCTGAGAGGGTTCTTGCCTAATATTTAGAGAAAAATTCTAAATACCGGCATAAATAAATGAGGCAGCATGGTACATTATAGGCTTTTATTCAGTGAGAGAAATCATAGGGGAGTGAGAGCTTTATCTAAGAGAGAGGTAAATCTGGGTTCATACTGAGCACCAGGAACCAGCCAGGTGGAGGAGCACCTAGGCCAGGAAACCACGCGCCCTGGAGGCGCAGGGCCACAGCAAGCTCCCTCCTGGCAAGAAGCCAGGGAAGAAGTGCGGACACACCGTGTCCCAGGCTTTTAACTCAGTTCCAAAGCGGAGTGGTTAAATAATCTGATTGGCTAGTGGGCACCCAGGTGTGGCCAGGTAGGGGCGTGAGGTCACACAGGGGTGTGGCAAAGGTGTGATCTTCCAGCTCACAAACCTAATCAGTTTTAACCTATATGCCTGCCTACTTCATAGGGAATGGTTTAAAGTTTTTCTTTCATGTTGTAAAATAGTATAGCAAGTAATTAGTTAGATCTAAACCTTACAGTCAAGCTCCAATTGAACTAAAGAGTTTAATTTAAAATTTTAATTTAAAAAATGAGGGAAAATGTTAGTGGTTATTGTCAACCAAATAATGAAATTTATTGTAAGTTGAGATTCAGAGATTTAATGTAAAAGAAAAAAATCTGATGGTGTCAGAGGCTAATTGTTATGCATTGTCTTTAAACATAAGAAACTCACCCTTCAGACTTGTGCAAATTGAATTTCTAGGAGAGGCATTTTGTATTGCTGTGCTCAGAGCTAGCAGGCAGAAGTCTGGGCTTCTGTTCCTAAGTGTGTGGTGTTGGTGTTCGACATCTTAATGACCTTGGCAGGAGATATTTTAATGGTCTCATTATGCAGAGAATGAGAATGTCAGTGAGACAGGAGAGTGAAAATGGAGGAAGAGAGGGTCTGCAGCTGTGGTGTAGTGGGTAAAGCCACTGCCTGCAGTGCCTGTGGGTGCCGGTTTGAGTCCCAGCTGCTCCACTTCCAATCCAGCTCCCGGCTAATGTGCCTGGGAAAGCAGTGGAAGATGTCCCATGTCCTTGGGGCCCTGCAACCATGTGGAAGATCTGGATGTAACTCATGGCTTTGGATCAGCCCAGCTCCGGCCTTTGCAGCCACTTGAGGAGTGAAACAGCAGGTGGAAGACCTCTCTCTCTCTGTCTCTGCCTCTGCTTCTTTATAACTCTGCTTTTCAAATAAATAAATAAATGTTTAAAAGAAAGAAAATGCCTGCCTGCCTGCCTGCCTGCCTGAGGATTCAGAATTAAGGAGCAGGTGCCTGCCAATATCAGCAGTGTTTTAATGTCCTCATGTTTAGTTGTTCAAGCCTGTCAGTTACAATGTGACTACAGTGAATAGGCCTTAACACTGTAGAGCATTTACTGATTCTTTGACAGCCACTTATAATTGTGAGTTTTCTCCTAAGAATGGAAGAAATTCTGCCAATAATTTCAGGACAGCCAGACTGAAATTATCTCAGCCCTCACCTGTGAACCTGGGGACATGGTCACGTCAGAGGCAGTGTTTGTGACTCAATAAACTGGCACCTGGGTTGGGGCATGCCCTGGCAACCCTGGCTAGTGGTGTTATTTAGGGGCTTGTTAGGCCAGGGGAGATCTTTGTTACTTTTAAAAGGGAGGGTGATGGGAAACATCATAAGAAATTGATTTTAAGACATCTTTCCAGATACTGGATTTGAAAGTGAGTGATAGTTTTACTCATATGTAGGCCTGAAATGAGAATTAGATTTTTTTACTTCAGCTTGATTAATCAGCATTAATTAAATTATCTGGAATAACTTAGAAGGATTCTGAAGCTGCATCTGGGCTTAGATGGAAAGGTGGCTGGAAAAGATTATTGTGTCTCCAAAGGAATGGGAAGTAGGGGTGCAGTATTTTAGGTTGGTTCATCCCTTTCATTTTGCTGATGTATATTTTTGGCCTCACTGTTGCTTAAATGTTAACTTCAGAGGGTAGGAACTATGCACATTCAGTCTTAACCAGCTCCATATGAGGCATGTATAGTAGGAGTTTGGGTATTTGTTGAACAAATAAACAAATGTGTGAACTCAGACCAGAATGTGTGAAATATCTAGAGTTTTCCAGAGTAAAATCAGGGACAGGACTAAGTCCTGGCTTTCTAACACAGTGGTGTCACCTTCCTGAGTGAGCATCTGCATGATGCTTGATACAGATTCTAAAAGAATACAACTCCCTTCTCCACCCCAATGAACTTAAACTTCATTTGGGAAGAAAGCAAACAAAGAAGTTTGAATGATTATGAAATGAATAGTTTGAATGATTAGAGCTGGTAGGACAGGGTGGCATTTAAGAAAGTTCTAAATTACCAGCCTGGTCCCAGAAGTAAGTAGCATTAGTTTGAATGCAAAAGTACCTTGCTTTTGTCTCAACTTTTGCACTTAACTCCAATAAACCTGTGTTTTGATTGACAAAAACTCTTTGATCTTAACTTTTTGTAGGAGGTTTAAGATTATGTCCACCCCCTCTCTTTCTTCTCATTTTTTGATGTTGTTAGGATGGAGTATTTTGACTGGTTAAGGAGTTTTGCTTCAATTTAAATACCAAGTCAATAGTCTACTTACAGAAAAATGAATGTCAGGCAGACTTTTTAAAGCTGAAGATTATCCAGTCACAACATTTGTTACTAGAGAAATTATTTATAGCATTTTGGAATTAAGCCTAAGTTGGAGAGAAGCCTGTGCAGTGTGATATTAAAGCATTTTAAAAAGCTTTGTCCTAAGCATCCCTCAGTGTGTGTTTAGAAAGACGTAAGAAAAGTAGATGCTTTCATAATTATACATGTTGAGCAGAGAAGTCGCATTTAAGAAAATACCTGATTGCAGGGACACTGGATGCCAACTATCAGGATTGGAATTTCCACCCCAGTCACTGTTGCCCTGTGTAAGGGATGGGTCTTGATTTCCTTATCTGTATAGTGGGGATGATCATCTTTCATGAGGTTATTGTGAGGATGTGAGATCTTTCAGACAGAGCTTATAACAAGTGCTCAATTGTTGGTTATTGCTAATGTTATTGATATAATTAGTATTTTGCCAATAGGTAGATTTGTATCATTGATTTGTTGGAGGGGGTGAGGATTCAGTCTCACATTCGTGTTTTAATACAATTGACTAAACAGTGATGGTTAATAGTTTATGTTTTTGTTTTCATACAGGTTGAATGTAATTTTTACAAAATTTGATGAGGTTCAAAAATCTGGAAACATGATACAATCTGCTAATGGTGAGTGGAAAAAGCAATCTCTGTTTCTGCTTTTTCAGTTTCCTATCAGTAATGCTGATGCTTTTTCTGAACAGCTGAATTACATGTTTTCATTACGATTTCTAGTGTTAAATCCTAGCCTCTATTCGCCTGCTTTCCCATACCAGAAACTGTGGAGTCATCGTTGACTTTTTTTTAGAGCCTGTGTTGGATTCACTAGTTAATCCTTTTGGCTTTACTTTTAAAAATTCATCCTGAATCCGGTAATTCTCACCATCACTGTGACCATCTTACAGGTACAAGCTGTCATAGTTTTACCTGGGCTCCCATGGAAGCATCCTAATCAGTATCCTTGCTTTTAGTCCTACTCCCACAGAGCCTGTTTTCACATAGCAACCAAACTAATCCTTTTAGAATGTACGTGTGATGTTAATCCCCTGCTCCAAATCCTCTAAAGCTTCTCATCACACCCAGGCTGCGATTCAGTGGCTCATGTGGCCTGCTGAGCCCTGCAGGACCTGCCCATTCACTCCTCAAATGTCCACATAGCTCCGGGCTTGGTCAAACCAAAGCCAGGAGCTTTTTCCAGGTCTCCTGTGCGAGTAACAAAGGCCCAAATACTTGGATCCTCTTCTGCTGCTTTCCCAGATGCATTAGCAGGGAGCTGGATTGGAAGTGGAACAGCTGGGACTTGAGCCAGTGCCCATATAGGATGCCAGTACTACAGGCAGCAGCTTAATCTTCCATGCCCCTGTTTCTTTTTTTATGATTGTAAAACCATAACAATATTAATAGAAAAAAGAGTAATTTTTACTGAAGTTCAGCTATTATCAACAAAAATCATTTTTCATATTTTCTTAGTCTCTTTCCTATATCCACAGTTTTATTTTCTCTGTTTTGTCCCATTTGTCAGTGTATACTTTTATATATACTTTCAAAAATGTATTATTGATAGAGAGCAAGGACCAGAACTCTGGTGCCTGAGTTATGTAGTAGTGGTGAGTGGGTTGATGGGTGTCCGTGAGCAGGGCTACTCAGACAGTTCTGGACACATGTCTTTCTTTTGTGTGTATTTGTGTAATATGTTTGTTTCTCAGTTAAAATTGTTGACACCGAGAAAGTAATGGACCAGGAAGTAGAATCAGTGTGAAAAATGAGTTTGTGCTTCATTGCTTATGTTGTAACTATGAAATGGACTCTCATTAGAGTGGGGAGAAAGACACATCCATGTTGGGGGCCCACCATGGATTTTTAACATGACAGAACACATAGAGAGAAGTCATGTACATATGCCGTATAAAAGTTGGGTGTCATTGGGTGCATCACATTTTACTGAAGTGTATATACTGGCACCCAGATTTCTTACATGCATGCATATTCACACCTAGGATACGGCTGAGTAAGAAACCGGTTCTTTAGGCATCTGTGTTAACAAGAGTAATTGGGAAGGAAGGCTTAACTTAGCATTTCTTATACTTTCAGCTCTTTATTGTACATGAGGGAATTGCAAAAAGTTTATGAAAAATGGACTTAAAAAGTGGTATGAAAATTTTCAAATCCATGCATGGTTTTATATGTATTTTCCGTTAACTTCTTAAAGAGACCTCATATGTGAAGTATCATAATTTTAATTATTACAGCCAAAATATTTGTTTAAAGGACAGAAAGTAATATAAATACACATTTTTTTGTTGTTGTTGTTCAACAACTCTTGGTCTAATCATTATTTGAACTCTTCTGAACTTTATACCAGTGACTCTTCACTCTCCAGATGCCTGCAGTGGCTGAGGCTGGGCCAGGGCAAAGCTGCAAATGCAGTGCAGATCTCCCATGGGTAGCAGGAACCCACCTACTGGAGCTACCTCTGCTGCCTCACAGGGCGTGCATTAGCAGGAAGCTGGCACTGGGAGCAGAGCTGAAACTTGAATCCAGGCATTCTGGTGGTGGGATGCAGGTGTCCCAGCATGTGGCCTAATCACTAGACCAAATGCCTACCCCTTGAATAGCATTTAAGTATTTCCTACACTGCCTTTCCAGTGTTGAGATTTTCATTTTTCTCAAGTCTGAGCAGGTTGAGCTGCTGCCCATGGAAACTAAACTTTTAGGTATACCTGGGAACAGCTTCAGAACAGTGAGGTCTTCTGACGCAGCTCTTCCCTCCCCTCCCCAAAGGAACCTTTTATTTAGGGAATGCAATCTTCATGCATTTCATAAGTACAGCTTTGGGTGTATAATGATTCTTCCCACCATACCTGCCCTCCCATCCACACCGACACACCTCCTTTTTAATATCCTTATTTGAAGTGGATTGAACAGGATAATGAACTTCCACTCAGCCTTGACAGCTACCAGTACTCGGCCAGTTGTGTTTCACAACAGTGATGGGCCATGATGACGATGATCAGTTGTCGTTTGTCACCTGGTTTGCATCTGACACAAGGCATGAGAAGCATTGAGTTTAGAAAATGAGCAGCTGTAATTAGAAATTTAAGAAATAGTAACCTGAAAAGGTCCACGTGGTTGCTGTTGTCATCTTTTGAGAACAGGGGGAAGCAGTGATAGTTCATAACTCTCATTTGTTTTCCAAGAGAATGGAACAAAGGTGAGCATCATTACCTTAATGAGGGGGGGGGGGCTCAGTTCCACAAAAGGGTTTTGACTAAGGGCCTTTCATGTCTTCACATTCCAGCTGGAATCCACTCCTACCTCCCTGTACACTTTTATATTTATTTTTCAGTTCTTTTATTTCCATTCATTGCTCTCAAGCATGAAATTCATACCAGGATCTCCTGGGCCCCAGCTCTGTGCAGCCTTCCCCTGCCTGTCGCCGTCCCCAAGACTGACCATAGTCATCTCTGTATTTCCTTTTCTCTGTAAGATCTTGATTTCTGTCTTTCTTTTCTTAGCCAACTACTGCACACCCTTTTGAAGTCTGGCTAGCTCTGTGTTGCCACTCCTGAAGAACTTTCCCTGACCTGCCAGTGTCAGAACCTCCTGTTAAGGCCCACCCATCCTTGCTTCCCTGCTTGGCATTCTTCATCATGCTTGGACCCCTTTACCGCTGGCAGCCGTTGGAGTATTGTCAAGCTGTCTCCTCCACTGGCCTGTACAGGGGGCTGTGTACAGGGTTTTGCTCGTTCTGGGACCTGGACAGCTCACAGTGTGGCCTCTGTTATTAGTGATTGTGCTTTGATTGGTTCACTTGTCAGGCATTGGTCTTTCTTTGTGTCTTGGGACTCTTGAGGGCTTGTATGAACAGCTTGTGGCTGAGGTGACTGGATCTGCTCTACTTTTCTTATTGAGCAGCTTGATTCTGTAGTGTAATGTGTGAGTTGGAGCTGAGGAGGAGCGAAACAAAGCCAGAAGAAGAGTAGATGACAGCATGGAGGTCATTTGCAGGGCCCCAGGGGTTTCAGGGCAGTGGCCCTGGTCACTAAAGGCTGCCACAGTAGATTAGCACTCCGCACGTGTGGAGGTGCTTCCTAGGTGGACCCAAAAAGTAGTTTTAAATGATCTGTGCCTGTCAAATTCCCATTTATGAAAATTTAGCAGCCTGTACTCCTGACTAGGCAAATGACTTCACTGTTGTGGCCACAGTTTGCTCAGATGTAAAATGATGTGAATGCACTGCACAGAGACATGCAGGATGAATGAGGTTGCATGTAACACACATAGCACATTGCTGGGATGTGGTCGGTGCTCAGAACTGTAGAATTCTGTCCAGTTGCTCCATTTTAGGGGTAGATTCATTTTTGAAATAAGATCATCGTTTGTAAATAACTGTCATACTTACAAGTTTTTTAGTTTCAGATTATTTGGGGGTTTGTGTTTTAAAACTTAATGTGTATTTTCTTTAAATTGACAATGCTGCTCTTTTTAGAAAGATTCTTTATTAACATAGAATTCACATACCACAGTCACCCTTTCCATGTTTTCACAGATACTGTGTAACCGTTCATTGTTGGATATTTGGATCCTCTCCACTTTTGTCTACTGTGAATAGTTCAGCTTTGAGCACTCATGTTCACATGTTGTTTAAACACTTGTTTTTAGTTCTTTTGAATATATCTCTAGGAGTGGGACTGCTGGTGCCTGCAGCAGCAATTCTGTGTTTAATTGAGGATCCACCCAGCTTTTCCACAGTGGCTGCACCATGTTTTATTCCAGACAACAATTTCCATAGTCTCTACATTCTGGCAATGCTTAAAATGTTCCATGTTTTGATTATACAAAGTGATCTCTCACTGTGGGTTTGAATTCCATATCCCTAACCACTAAAGATGTTGAACATATTTTCCTATGCTTATTGCCATTTGTAGATCTTCCTTGAAAAAGCATTTATTTTCATTTATTTTTTTTAAAGATTTATTTATTCACTTGAAAGTCAGAGTTACATAGAGAGGGGGGGAGAGAGAGAGAGAGAGAGAGAGAGAGATGTCTTCCATCCGCTGGGTCACTCCCCAGATGGCCGCAGTGGCTGGAGATGCACTGATCTGAAGCCAGGAGCTTCTTTCAGGTCTCCTATGCAGGTGCAGGGGCCCAAGCACTTGGGCCATCTTCTGCTGCTTTCCCAGGTCACAGCAGAGAGCTGGATCAGAAGTGAAGCAGCTGGGACATGAACTGGCACCCATATGGGATGCCAGCACTGCAGGCAGCAGCTTTACCCTCTACGCCACAGCGCCAGCCCCTCTATTTTCATTTATAATGTTCATTACTTTTTTATTATTGTTTTAGAAGCAGACACAGAGGGAGACAGAGCTCTCATTTGCTGGTTCACTCCCCAAATTCAGGAGATGGCCCAGGCTGGTTCAGGCCAAAGCAGAGAACTGGTATCACAATCCAGGAACCGGGTTGGCAGGAACCCGGTTACCTGAGCCATCACTGCTACCTCAGAGTCTGCATTAACAGGAAACTGGATTCTGGAGCTGGGTCGTGAACGCAGTATTCAATATGGGGAACAGGTATCCTAACCAGGGGCTTAGGCACTAGGCCAAATGCCTGTGCCTCTATTCCCATTTTTA